TACAGTCATTTTTCATCATGTCCAATTCATGGAAGAGGATGGAAAAAAACATCTGGGTATATTAAAATTGTCTTTGCATCCTTAATTTTTCCAGTCTTTTCATTTAATCCACTTTCTTAATTATTCCTTTAGATTTTCTTCAGGCAGTTAAATACTTGTGCATATATTTAATGTTAAACTGGTGAATTGAGAGGTCGATGAAGTCAGTGGAGCTCACTGTGTAATTTAAGCAGCATTTTTTGTCATAAGATATAGTACCTTGTATGTTTCTCATGTGATTAAGGAATTCAGCAAAAATTGTGTTAAAATATATACTGTGAGCTACCTTGAAAAACATAAAGATATCAGATTAGCTACAGACTCAAATGGGCAGAGAGATGTGCATCAATTAACTACTGTAAGTAAGTATTTCTAGATACTCTGTTCAGTAAATTTACCATTTCACTACTTTGAAACTTTTGGGAAATTTGATACAGCCGTTCTTCAGCCCTAGTGGATAGGAAAAGTAAGCAAAGCAAAGCTAGAATTACTTGTTCTTTTCCCTTCTCACTGAGAGCAAAATAATTTTTAATAGTTCATGGCTCTGCCTGAGGTTTATTTTTTTAAAAGATTATTTACATTGGGAAAATTTTTCTAATCCAATATACTCAAAAATAAGATTTTAGCTTTTTCTAATGATTATTTTCATACCATTACTTCAACATAAGACCTTTTAAGTTTCTGTCCTGCTTTCCTTCATTCAGTATTACATTTGAGTTTAATCAATGTACAACGTTTAATCAGCATTAAACCTCTTTAAAGATAATTAAGATGAAGAGTAAAGGTGATGTAGCACTACTTATTGTAACATGGGCCTCATTTTCTTTTACAGTCTGGTATATCTCTGCTTATCAGTACTTTGTGCTTATTTTATTTTTAATATTTTTCTGGATGTGTTCAATTCACTTCTACTAAAATATTATTTCAAGTAAAACTTCAAGAGGCAAACTGGATTCTGAAAAAGTCATGTTTATAATTTCAGTCAATAAGGTTATATGCTCTGTGGTAGCCCAAAGCTCTTTTTGAAGTATTTTGGTTTTAGTATTGCTTCATTTTACACATAGTGACTGCTAATTTTAGAACAGCCTTTCATAAGCACCTTTGTATATGAGGATATTGCCAGTGGGCAAAAGTTTCACATAGTATGTAAGATTTTACTTAAAATTTTTGTCATATTATATAAATGGAGAGAGAATGTGATTTCATGAAAACATCAACAGATATCTTGTCTTAAGTTTTACAATATGCCTTAGAGAAACAGGGCTGACTTTTAGTCTCCAAGTAGTTTCTCGAGTCACTTTATTTCTAATATATTTCTAAATTATATTATAAATTCTGCATTGTAGTGACACACCCTATACAATTTGATTTATGGAAAATGTATTTTTTAGTAATCATCCTTGATTTTAAATTATAGACCATGTCTAAACCCAAAGTCTTTCATCACAGACATGCAAGCATAGCCATGATAGCAGCAGCAAGTGTCCAGTTTATTGGCTTAATGTAGTACAGTGCACTTCTAGAGAAAGTTCTCTGATTGTCCCAAATGCTGTGCTTCTTTCAGTTTGTAGGGTGTTTGGTATTGACCACATAATGCTCCTTCTCTCATTTACTTAATTTGGATAGGTTTGATTGTTTTTTGAGACTCAGCAAGCAGGATATAATTGCTTTGTGTTCTTAAACTATAAAATTTATCGGTTAACGCACATGAGGTGGCTGGGGATCTTGCAGTATTCATCACCCCTGTAGAGTGAGCAATGGGTCTTTGGTGTCCTGGCAGTCAACAGTCCCAGGGGAAAGGCTCAGCCTCCACTGCTTACTGGAAGGGGAATTGTCTTCTGTGCTGCCAAGTAACTATCCTCCACTTACCCAGTTTTCTTCCTTGAGGTTTTATACCTTTTCAAATCACTGCTTTTCCTTTTTATGCCTTGAGCTTTTAAACAGTGCTAATTCAATAATTTTAGCTGCGTCTACAACTTAGTCTTTCCTTTTTTGCATGAATACTAGTCTATGTATTTTATTATAACTTTCGTTACAAGGCAGTTTTCTCAGAAAATGTAGACATTGCACAATTGTGATATTGTGTCATTATGCAGTGGATTGCACATAGATGAACATCCATGAGAATGGTAATAACTATCTAACTGCCTGCAAATCTTCATCATGCTCTCTTCTGTCAGTACCTCAGCTTTCACACAAACACTTTCTGGTTCAGTATGATTTGCTTTCTTGCCCTTCATTTTTCTGTTTCCACCTCTTACAGAAATTCTTTCAAAAATTCATCTCTCACATTTCCACATCTCCTTCTTTACTGTGCTTTTTCCTATACTGCTGTTTCTAGCTCATCTTCCCAAAAGCAACAGCTGCTTTGGCTACCCAGCAGAGCCAACAGCACAGAGCCTCAGGAAAGCAGGACTGCTGTTGCCCCCATGTGCTGTGCTTACCACACCTGTGGCCTGCAGATCAGCTGACTGGTACTTGTTGAAGAGCAAACACATCTGCCTTGCTGCAAAGAGATGGAATGTCAATCCTACTGTGACCCCCACACAGACAGAGTAATATCCGAGGATTGACTTACTAGGGTTTCCCTCAAGAAGGAGGCTGAGGATGCACTCTCCCTGTGTTTCACCTTGTTTGGTTGCTATCCAGGTTCTACACTGATTCCAGTTTCAGGGACTATTGCAGTACTTGCAAGCAAGGTCTGCTTCTGCCTATTGGGCCCTTTTGCTGCTGTTACTGGCAACAGGAGTGCATCATGGTGTGGTAATGGTGTGCCCTAGGATTTGCTCCTTAGGGATCCACAAAACAGGAAATTTTTTGTACTAATTTTCCTTGGGCAGCTTCTCTTCACTTGACAGCATTTAGACTGGAGGACCTGTCTGATCTTGTCTAAAATTCCCAAAACTTATAGTATGGATATAAGGAACATCAATATCAACTGCTTTGATTAATGATCTCTTTCTATTCTGCCTCTTCACACACGCCTTTTGTATCTTGGTTTTCAGATGGGACAGGAATAATTTTCTTCTTATTAGCTGGTACAGTGCTATGTTTTTGATTGAGCATGGGAATGATGTTCATAGCACACTGATATTTTAGTTGTAGCTAAAATATGGTGTTCCCTAAATCAAGGACTTTTCACTGTCCCGTGCTCTGCCTACAAACAAGACAAGAAGCTGGGAGCAAGCATGGCCAGGAGAGGTGACCTGAACTGGCCAAAAAAAATATTCCATGGCAAAGAAATATTCCATACCATAGAACATCATCCTTGGAACATCAGCTTGGGTAATTGGCTGAGAGCTGCATGTTGCTGCTTAGGGATGGGCTGGGCATCCGTCAGCAGTGGATGAGGAATTGTATTGTGCATCACTTGTTTCTCTTGGGTTTTATCGCACACTCTCACCTTTCCATTACTATTATTATACTTCAATTATGAAACTGTTCTTAATCTGAGACCATGAGGTTTTTGGTGTAGAGTTTTTTTTTTTCAAATCTTCTCCCCATTCCTGTGGGCCAGCCTGGAGTAGAAAAATGGGGTTGGAAAGGAGGGTTGAGCAAGTGGCTGCATGTAAATAGTCGCCAGCTGAGGTTAAACCATGGCAACTTGCTGATAGAAACATGCTTTAAATTTCTCCACTCACTTCTGAGTCAAAGACACAGGGGACAAGGCATTCATCCTTTGAATTCACCCTTTTCTGCTTTGCCACTACTGGAATTTCAAACTCATCCTCTTCCTTCTAGCTCCAATTCAAGGATGCTTCCACTTTTTTTAAATGGCCCAATGGCCATAACATAAGCACTCAATTAAAAATCCTTCACATTTTTCACAATTGGTGTATGTATTACTAACATCTCAAATAGAAGTATAGTATTGAGATGCCCAAGCTAATGTTCAGCACCTCTACCAATGTATGTACCCAGGACAAACTACTGATTGCTTTGTGACAGTTTTGAACTGCTTTAATTCCATTAAATTTCTGTACATAGATGTCTTTTCTATACCAGCTACTACTAATTATATGCATATTTTTAAATACGAAGTAGGATGAGAAGTGGGATAAAAATGCTATTTTGTAACAAAGGTACATTTGCAGCAGCAACAACTAAATTGCAGAAATAAAGAATACTCTATGCAGTCTTTTCTTTCTTTTTTACTTCTATTTTCATTTCTCATAATACTTTGATGAATACATTGATGGCATTCTTCTAAGCCTCAAGCTATGACCTTAAAGGTCATGTATAAGACTAATAAGACTTCATTAATACTATCAGTCTTTTCAGGATAGGTGCCTTACTATTAATTAATTAATGCATTTCATGAGATAAACATCCTCAAATTCTAACAAAAAAAAAAAGTTGAAAGTTTAAATGTTAGAGAATAGGCCTCAAAAATGGCATTGTTTGTATCTATGGAGAGTTGTGTGAAGTTTTGTGACATTATTCCCATTAACTCTGTAAGGCAAGAAATATGCAAATTGTAGATCGAAATAATGTCGCTCTTAGGGACAAAACTAACTCAAAATTCATGTTAAAAATTGCATTAATTTCTAGTCACAACATCTTTAATTATAGCAGTTCCTGTAAATTTGTTCGGGGGAAAGGAATTGCTAAGTAGTTTCAGAAACTCCTGTTTTCCTTTTGTGAAAGAATAATGAAAAGTGTGAATCACATTTTCCACATAATTTAATGAAATCCTTCATTAGTGAGAACTGACATTTGTATTCCATACTAAACAAGTTCTTTATGCTTGGAAAGTAGCTCTCTTAATTTCTTTTTAAATTGCTAGGAATCTATTACCTTTTTTGGATGAATACTGATTGCTGTGCCATTGGTATTTTCTCAACCAAATCAGTTTCAAACGAGGATTACAAAGAGTGTGTTAAACCAATTGCTGGAAGAGAATATGGCATTTTTTTCAGTATTACAATCAATTAAAATCTATTCCTTCTGTAATCCCACAGCTGAACAGACAGGAATGTTATTTATAGGAGATGCAATAATACAGGTCAGTAATCATTCACTTTTTTCCACAGACATTTGTTTCATACTTGCTTTTATTTCAGTAACTAACTTCGCATTACAAGTAATTTTCTCTCTATCATATCTGTTTTTAGGTTAATGGTATAAATGTAGAAAGTGCTACCCATGAAGAAGTGGTAAGTCATTCCACCTTGATATTTTTACTGGTGTACAGAAATATCTCATGTCCAAACTGTTCTGTCTCTGGCCTCGTTTCAAATGAATTTACTCTTTTTTACTATAAAGACAGTGCTATCATCAAGCTTGTCATATATTTGATTAAAAGTTTTCCAGTTGTATTGAGATACAATTTACCACAATGTTTGGTCTAACCTGAAACAAAGTAATTTATTGAATAGTGGACGGGTTTTACTGATTTGGTTCATATATCAGATTGACTGTATGAGGACAAAGCCAGTTCACATTCACTCGATGTGCAGTGCTTTCCTGGTTTGCAGTGCAAGGCCATATAGATAAAAATTGTTACCCCCTGTTTGTTTATTGGCAGTTATCAGTTGATTCACTAAAAACAGTATCTCAGAATAGCATCTGTAGCAACCATAAATGACACGGGCTTTGACAGTTTTATCAGCCAGTCAGAAATTACATGGGCAAAGGAACTAAACTTGTTCTTATTATTTGAAGGTGATCTCTCTAGGTCAAGATAAAGTGCACCTGGCATGATCTTGCAGTCCTTTCCTTGGTGTTGATTAATACCATCAAGCTGACTCTCTGACAGACAATCTCAGTAAAGCATAGTTAGATCTATTGTGTATTGGTTAACTGCCCTCCTGCTGGTTGTACTGTTATTGCACAGAAAAAAAATCAGACTTCCAGAAAGTTACTCTGATGCTGCACTGCACCAGAGCTCTGGTTAGCTCTATGGCGTTCCTTCTCTCCCTCTGGCACGGGCGAGCGCCAAGAGCGGGGAGTCACTAGGATGTTGGCTTTTCACTCAGTGAAACCTCCAGAGACTTGGGCCGGCCCAAGCTCTCCAGATGCATGGCATCAGGGGCAGAGGTAAAAAAGTAGAGGAGTCTCTCCGGAGTAAAGTTCCCAGCAATATTTATTAAGGATAATTAATATAGTAATAATTAAGGATAATTGATATCTATTAAGGAAATGGGGGATCACTCTCAAAGGGATCAGGTCCGAAGGAGCCCTAAGCACTCTTGTGCAAGGAATTAAGTACAGCCCAATCTCCAGGGGAGGGTACAAACCGTGGACCAATAGGGAATCCTGAGGGGAGGAGGGGATTGCAACTTCAAAACCAATAGGGATACACAGAGGGAGGGAGCAAGATACACTAACCAGTGGGGCCTCGAGGGACAAATGATTGACAGGGAAGGATCTGGAAGATAGGGTGGGGTTTACAATGATGGATAGGGAGTAGGGGCAGGCCTGGGGAGACAGACAAGGAACTTTCAAGAAGGAAGGGAGGGGTTTGCCTTGATAGTCAAGATGAGGGAGGGATAACAACAGAGAGAAAACAATACATTTAACCTGGGGGGAAAAGGAACGAGCCAGCAAACAATTTGAACTTTGACAAAATTCAATAAACAGACTGCAACATTACTCCTCACAAAATGGTAAGTTACTTTCCTTAAGGATTGTTTGTGAAAACCAAGAAGTGCTTTAGAACTGTCAGTGTAACACAACAGAGATGAGGAATGAGAGAGAAATGCATAGTCTGCTCCTTGCCCTGTATATGGGAATTCAGTAGAAGTATTAAGCAAAATTGCTGCTACCACAGCTTGTTACTATATTCATAATGGGGTTAGAAGGATGTGTCGGACAGTAGAGGAAAGAGCTGGTTCTATGAAATGAGGTGGGCTGTTGCCAAGCTCCTGAATGGAAGATTTATTATTTCTTCTCTTATTGAAATTATGTCTTTGTGTTTTTATAAAATAATAGTTGGGATAAAGTCCTTATTATTTGAATAGGGTGGGTTTGCAATTTGAAGGAAATACTTCTAAAAAGAAAGTTTGGGTACCAGAAACACCACTAAAGAAGGTATATAACATATTAAGCTTGTTACAATATATTAAGTTAGTAATATAATACAGTGATTATAGGTAGTTGTCCAGAAAGCAAGAGGTTAAGGATGGAAAACTTATCTAACCTACATAATCATACCTACATCTTCTCTCTCTAAAAGATGTCCTGTTTTCTAAATGTCACTCAGGTTAAAAGTCAGGTGCTCCAGCACTTCAGTTCAGAAGACACTCATCAGTGAGGCTTGGGAATTCTTAATCCACTCTGGGTTCAAGTTTACACAACCTTGTTAACATGATACAATGTACTTAATGGAAGCCTGTCAAAGGTTATTGAGTAATTCTTTTAGCTTGCTCTATATGCATCTGGCACTGTGGTTTCTTACATATTCAGTCATCTGCTTCAAAGTTGGGCTCCTGAAATACCACCCTACAGTTTGAAGATATTTCTGGCTGTTTGCATACTGGCTACAGGAGGCCTCTTTTGCAAACCAACTAACTTAAGGTTATGAATTGTACTATGTGATTCAAGGGAGTGTGTACTGGGTCTAGGCTGAGACTACATTAGTTTTCTTTGTAGCAGCCTGTATGGTGTTGTATTTTTGTTCATGACTAACTAACATGAGTAACTGGCAGACTGTCTGATACTCCTGAGCAGTGCCTGTAGGCCATCAATGCTTCTCTGTTCTTCAGGTTTTTTTTCCCCTCCCAATGAGTAGGCTGAGAGTGGCCCAGAAGTTGGAAGGGAATACAGCCAGGAAAGCCTATCTGAACTGACCAAAGAGATACTCCATACCATGAAACATAAAAATTGTAGGGAGTATTTTCTGGAGGAAGCAGCCATTGCTCAGAGACTGGATGGGCATCAGGAAGTTGTGACTGATTTCCTTTGCATAATTTGTTTTGTTTTTTACTTTTGTCTTTATTTAAGGTACTAAATTGTCTTTATCGGGAAACTGCTGTTATATCATGAAGGTGTTCTTCCTTTGTTATTCCTATTCTCTTCCCAACCAATGGGGGGAATGGGAATCAACCCATCATTAACTGTTTAAACTGACTCTGCTGGCAAAGGTAGAGATTCTGAATTACTCCACTAGTCCAACCACAGTGATAAGCCATTAAAGGGGCAGAAGCATATATGTTTCTTACTTTTTTTTGGTGTTGATCTGATGGGTTTTTTCTGTGTGTTTTTCTTGTTGTGGTTTGACTATTTTATTTTTTAAATTGTAACTCTAATAAATGTTTTCAAAAATTTTCTTTTGGTTTTTTACTTTGTTTCACAATGGCTTTCCTTGCTGTTCAGACTTTTCCCCCTGTTTGTTCTTACTTTCTGCCATTTTAGAATGTCTGCTGGTTCACCCTTGCAGGATGTGAGGAAGTGCACTCAGCACAAAATCAGAAAACCTTTATTTTACAAAACTGAAGCTTAAGTGTAATTGCATATTAGGATGGTTCACAGGTGTTAAAGACTTATAATTAATACATGTCAGAGAAGGCTACAAAATCAGAGAACTTTAGGAAAGGGGACAGTTTGTTCTGTCTGTTGTTCGATTACTTCTTGGCAAGCCAAACAATTAGCTACTCTGTTAGCAACACTTTAGCAACAAACTGGCTCTCCTCGTTTTTGCTTCTGATATTAGGATTTTCTTTTCTCCACAATTATTCAAGCTGCTACTATTACACATTAGTTCTGGATAAGGGTATGAATAGAATATATAATTCAGAATCACTGCCACAAAAAATTCCGCTTTTGTCGTAGGTAATACAGTAGTGTTGAAAATCGAAAATAATTTCTTTTCCTTGAAACTTAAGTTTATTTTTAGAAATATTCTGGTGTGGAGAGACTGAATGCAGAAAATGTTAATTCTGAGATCAGTATTGTTTCTGTATTGTGTATCAGAGAGGCAATTTAATTTTCTTTTCCTGATGGCTAATCAGGTTGTCACTGTGCATGAAAGGAGCAGTCAGATCTGAGTGGAGAGAAAGAGGGAAGCAAATATAAAGAGTATTTTGGTTGAAGTTCAAATGGTTTGTTTGGAAAGAACCTTGAAGATCAGCTACTTCGAACACCCCTGCCATGGGCAGGGACACTTACCAGTAGACCAGGCTGCTCAAAGACCCATCCAAACTGGCCTTGAACACTTCAGGGATGGGACATCCTCAATTTCTCTGGCAAGCTGCTCTAGTACCTTACCACCTTCACTGTAAAGAATTTCTTCCTAATATCTAATTCAAACCTCTCCTTCTTGAGTTTAAAACTGTTCTCCCTTGTCCTGTCACTGTATTCTCTTGTGAAAAATCCCTCTTCAACCCTCTTATAGCCCCCTGTAGGGTCTGGAAGGTCTCCCCTGAATTTTGTCTTCTCCAGGCTGGACATCTCCAGCTCCCACAGGCTGTAATCATAGGAGAGATGGTCCAGCCCTCTGAGCATCTTCCTGACCTACTTGATAATCACTGGGCTGAACACACTACCTGGCACTTTGTGGTATGAGTCTGGGTACTTTTCTCTCTCTTTTGTTAGGGAAAGAGGAAAATAAGATTCAGAAAGATTTTTGTGAGTCCCTCAGGTAAGCACTGCCCTCTGCTCTAGAGGGGAGTGTGAAATGTCTAGAAGTACCTGTTTGTTTCCACTATAAGCAAATTGTAGATGTGATGAAAAACCATCACTGTTGCCTTTCATAGGGGAATTGGACAGGGTTCTGCATAATTTCATGTAGACTATGATTAGTGTATCTATGATTAGTTAAAATGTAAGTTTGTATGAAATTAATCACATCTCAAGGATTAAAAAACTGATTATTTCCATTAGCTAGAAAATGCAGGGGAGGGAGTTTAGTTATACAAAAATGGAAAATTAGGTGTTGCATGTTATTTTTTTTCTTATTATATCTTATTTGTGTGTTTTATAGAAAATTAGTAGGTTTCACACATTTTTAGTATTCCACACAAATGTTAATCTCGTTGGAATTTTGCTCAATGATCCAGGAAAGTACTTGGAAACATTAATTTCTTTTTGTTTATGAATATTATCACAGAAGAACATTGCTAAATAAACAATATCCTTAAAACAGATAATCCATTCAGTGGGAATAATTTTAGATTTTCAGAATTTGAACAGTTATTAGTCACTAGTAATTATTTTT